GATGCTTGGGAAAGATGCAATGATATGATTGTCTCCAGGATTCATAACTCTGTAAGTCCCTCAGTGAAATCCTCCTTCATCCTGGTAGATAATGTATATGAAATCTAAAAGGAACTTTGTGAGAGATTTACTCAACAAAACGGACGACGGATTTTTCAATTAAAAGGAGCTCTAATAAACTTAACACAAGGAAATGATTTAGTCAATATCTATTACGGAAAGCTAAAATCAATTTGGGATGAGTTAGCATTGCACTGTCCCATGCCCGAATGTTCTTGTGGACAGATGAGGGTCCTAACTGATCGGTACCAACAAGATTGTGTAATTCAATTCCTCATGGGATTGAATGAAACATACTCCAACATACGAGATCAAATCATGCTGATGGATCCAATACCACAAGTCAGCAAGGTTTTCTCTCTCATTCAACAACAGGAAAAACAACATCAGATGTTACTTTGCACATCTACCCCTGATTCAATGGCTCTTTTCACCAGAAACACATCCACAAACTTCAAGACTTTCAACAGACCCTATTGCCCCCATTGTAAGATCCAAGGACATTCTTTAGAAGATTGTTTCAAAGCTGGAAATGCAAAACCTTCTGTTTGCAGCCATTGTAATATGAGTGGTCACTTGGCCGAAAAGTGTTACAAACTGGTGGGATACCCTTCAGGACACAAGTTGTACAACAAAAGGAAGAAACCGAATATTCATACCAGACAAACCAACATGATCATAGCAGAATATTTTCCAAAGCACCATGTTGATAAGATAGATTTGATTTCAAATCAATATCAGAAAATCTTACAATTACTGCATGAGAAGCACAACTCAACAGAGACTCATTCCTCTATGGCTCCACATTCAACCGTTCCTATGGCCAACTCCATAAGTCTTCCATCTATGTCTGGTATCGCAACTTGTCTCTCCACTTCTGCACATAAAGTTTTTGATATTACTAACGTTCCTTGGATTATCGATACAGGAGCTACATATCATATGATCTGTAGCATTGTATTTTTTACACAAATTACAGCCACCGTGTCCTACAATGTCAAACTTCCCAATGGGCAAGAAATCCCAGTCACACATATAGGCACTGTTAAACTTTCAAATTTGATCACTCTTGAGAATGTTTTGTGCGTCCCTTCTTTTACTTTCAATCTTCTTTATGTGCCAACATTAACTAAAAACATATGTTGCTGTTTTATTTTTCTGTCCAATGTTTGTTTTCTGCAGGACCTTATGTCATGGACAACGATTGGATTGGGTGAAATGAAGAATGGTTTATACCAATTCCAGCACATTCAAGTATCTCCTACTGCCTTGATGTGTAAATTATCCAAGTATTTTGAAACCCATCATCTGCATTCTGCTTGTATCACAAATACTAGTCCTGTTTTTCATTTGTGGCATTACCTTTTAGGCCATATTTCCAACTCTAGATTGCAATTGATTCGAGATCCTATTGTAATCAAAAACTCATGTTCTACTGAAACTCCTTGTTCTGTTTGCCTTATGGCAAGACAACACAAAACTTCTTTCAACTTTGAACTTATACACTGTGACTTATGGGGACCATGTTCTGTGACTGCCTATGATGGAAGTAGATATTTCTTAACAATTGTTGATCATATGTCTCGTAGCACTTGGGTCTATTTGCTCAAAAATAAGTCAGACACACAAAGATCCATATAGTCATTTTATAACCTTGTTAACACCCAATTTGGAACTAGGATTAAGTACCTAAGAAATGATAATGGAACAGAGTTTCAGCTGACAGATTTCTATTGCAAAAATGGTATCATCCACCAAAAGACTTGTGTAGAGACCCCACAGCAAAATGGGATAGTAGAGAGAGAACACCTGTCAAACTTCCCAATGGACAAGAAATCCCGGTGCCACCGTGTCCTACAATATCAAACTTCCCAATGGGCAAGAAATCCCAGTCACACATATAGGCACTGTTAAACTTTCAAATTTGATCACTCTTAATGTTTTGTGTGTCCCTTCTTTTGCTTTCAATCTTCTTTATGTGCCAACATTAACTAAAAACATCTTCTGTTGTTTTATTTTTCTATCCAATGTTTGTTTTCTGTAGGACCTTATGTCATGGACAACAATTGGATTAGGTGAAATGAAGAATGGTTTATACCAATTCCAGCACATTCAAGTATCTCCTACTGCCTTGATGTGTAAATTATCCAAGTATTTTGAAACCCATCATCTGCATTCTGCTTGTATCACAAATACTAGTCCTGTTTTTCATTTGTGGCATTACCTTTTAGGCCATATTTCCAACTCTAGATTGCAATTGATTCGAGATCCTATTGTAATCAAAAACTCATGTTCTACTGAAACTCCTTGTTCTGTTTGCCCTATGGCAAAACAACATAAACTTCCTTTTAATCACAGCTTACATAAAACTTCTTTCAACTTTGAACTTA